GTCATCATTGCTGACTCTTCTCTGGAGTTCATATATTTTTACATCATGTACTACCCATTCTACATATTTGTATTGTAGGATCATCGTCCTAGTGGTCAAACTGTTCACCGGTCGCTTCTACTCAATGCTCACTTCGCCACTGATCAGTTGACCAGACTGTTCGTCGCCCATGCTTAATCGCCAGCTACGCCGGGGACTCCTTGGTGCTCGGACATCTCCAGCTACGCCGGGGACTCCTCGGTGCTCGGACATTGCCAGCTATGTCGAGGACTCCTCGGTGCTTAGACATCGCCAGCGACGTCGGGGACTCCTCGGTGCTCGGACATCGCCAGCTACTTCGGAGACTCCTCGGCGCTTGGACATCGCCAGCTGCGCTGGGGACTCCTCGGTACTCAGACATCGCCAACTACGCGGGGGACTCCTCGGTGCTCGAACATCGCCAGCGACGCCGAGGACTCCTCGGTACGCCGGGGACTCCTCAGTGTTCGGATTCTTCGTGCAAGCATCGCAAGCTAAGCTGAGGACTCCCTTGGTGGTCCGATCTTGCTACGTCTCATCGGTATGCTATCAAGTTGTTCCATGCTGTTCGGATCAGGGTGCTAATCTTGGGCAGCACGTCTGGGGTCTTGATACGCGTATGTCAGATGACGTCGGCAAGCTTTCAGATTTCTTTTCTTTGACCCTGCTACAAGATTCATTCTTCATCTTCTAGCAGGCTCGGGGACTAAGTGGCTACACTTCACCTGATGGTGAATGTAGTGCTCATTTTCTTGATTTACCCTCCTTATTGACGGAGTCTAAGTGGCTACACTTCTCCTAAGTCGAAGAATTTTTAGATTTTGAACTTGAGCTCCTTACATCCTTATGGCAAGCCTAACTTGGGATTCGCTGCTCGGTAACGGTTCACGCTGCTCGGTGACGTTTCACGTTGCTCGACGACAGTTCACACTGCTCGACGACGGTTCACACTACTCGGCGACGGTTCACAACTGCTCAGCAACTCATCACGGTGGTCAGACCATGAGTCTGACTGGTCGGCTCTGTTCGCACCTGCCCGGACAAGCTCAAGACGGCGTTGCACAACGGATACAAGGCACTCGGGGACTAGCTGTGGGGGATATGACCCCCGATATCCATAAGACAAGACATGGGCCGCACCATCAGAGGTGGCCCAGCCCACAAGATCAAGGCGTGCACGGCACTGGTCGACGTGCACCGCAAGATATTGTATAGTACCAAATAGGATACTTTTCTTGTAACCCTACCCCTTCAGAGTATATAAGGAGAGGCAGGGGTCCCCTAGTCGATAGCTACTACATCTCAATACAATACACCAAAGACACATGACGTAGGGTATTACGTCTATCAGATGGCTCAAACCTATCTAAATCGATGTCTCTGCGCCTTGTGTCACCGTCTCGCTCCTGATCTCGCGCATCTCCACCGATCAATCTACCTTCGTAGGATACCCTTCAGAGGGCTATCGAGCATCTTTTGTCGACAAAAACTAATTAGAATGGATGACACGGTGATTAAAAAAACTCTGAACCGTTGTAACGGCAAAGGTGGATGTAGGGGGGATTGCCGACTCGACAAAATTTGTAAATCCTTTATCATAATACTACTATAACTTAAGAAGATCTATATCAAATAATGAAGCTGGCCCTAACGACCCTGATGATGTTTTTACTACATTTGCCCTTACAGCGCATGGGTTGTACTTATATCGTTGTAACGCACATATACATATTGCTAATGAAGGTCGAAGCAACCATTTAGATACCTCATTCCTGAGTAAAGAAGATCGATTCCTCTAAACAACGAATATACAAAATGTTACCGGGGCGAATCTACAGAATCTGTCTGGGTCCACCGACCTCGATGACCTTCTGATAGCTTCTCGTATCCTCTATTTTCTCACCACCTTAGACCCTAGTAAAAGAGTTAAATATATCGTAGTTTCATTAATTTTTAATAGTATATCATCTAGGTTTATCAACTTTTAAACTGTATTTTTGGGTCCATTAACTTTTGGTGGTGTGCCATTCAGATTCATCAACTTTTAAACTGTATTTTTTGGTCCATTAACTTTTGGTGGTGTGTCATCCAGGTCCATCAACTTTCAAATAGCATTTTTTGATCCCTAAACTTTTGGTGGTGTGTCATTCAGGTCTATCACCGAAAGTTTAGGAACTAAAATATGCAATTTAAAAGTTGATGGACCTAGATGATACACCACCAAAAGTTAATGGACTCAAAAATACAGTTTGAAAGTTGATGGACCTGAATGACGCATCACTAAAAGTTAATTCACAAAAAAAATATAGTTTAAAAATTGATAGACTTAGATGACATACCACCAAAAATTAATGGACCTACGGTATATTTAGCTCTGTTAAAAATAGGTGTTGGCCCCGCAACTGGAGCCCAGTCTAGAGAGAATACGTATCATGTTGGGAGAAGGCGAGCAGGCCGCAGAGCCCACTAGGTTGACTCAAGCAGCCAACACAACTACGGAAACTAATAACAAGCCCAAAAATGACCGATCGATTGCTCTTCCTGCACTCACCAAAGACACGGCTGCCCTTGTCCTTTGGTCTTTCCGATTCAACTTCTCGTCTTCTCGCTTCTCGCTCACCCCTCAGGGCCTGATGCCGCACAACGCATCGCCGCATCTCGATGTGGTTCGAGACTACAGGTACGCCACGGAGCAAATCTTCGTTTGTGCACATAGATACACCTGGACTCATGCCCATACTAGCTCTTGGATGTTATAGTTTAGTATTTATTTTTCCAGTTGATTAATATAATCAGAATTGAGAATTCAAAGCAAACCATAAAATGAATTTCTGTTATACTTTCTCCATTTAAAATTATATGACGTTTTAGCTTTTCTATATACATTACTTTTACTAGATATATGTCTTGTTCGCTTGAGCTACTTTTCAGCCATATAACAGTGTTTTCCTCTCACAACATTTTGATATAAGCATCAGTATAATCCAAATTTTAGCATAAGCGAACAGGACCATGGTATATATCTAAGTGCATAGCAAAATTTATATATCTAAGTGTATAGCAAAATTTATATATCTAAGTGCATAGCAAAATTTACGTTTCTATAAAAACCAAAACATCTTATAATTTAGAATGGTGAGAATACTAGCTGATGAGGATTGAGTTCGACCCTAATCACATTTTTTCTAGATTCTTGTTTCTAGGTATTTATTATTGTAAATTTCATGTTATGTTCTTTCTATCGCACTATTAAGCATGTAATTGAACTTCTCAATTTGAACACTTTCCTTTACAATAGCTGTTTTCTATATACACATATGGTATGATGTAGTTTTTGGTTCTTCGTTACTATAATTTGGCAATAGTCTTAACCAAATTCTGAATCCACCACTACGTATATCTATATATGAGTATCTCATATAATAATGTATACTAGATGAGTATCAAAAGATATGTATAATCTAGAATAATTGGAACAATACTCACGTAATCACGTGGTATATATGAAGGGAGAGCGTGGTCTGACTCGGAGGAAGGGCGTGAGCCTCGAAGGCCGTTGTGCGCGCTGCTGTCAACCTCTCGTAGCCGACAGCAAAGCAAAAATTGTAGAGACAATTATCTGTGAATCATTATAAAAGAGGTAACTTCCTCACCGGTCCTTGAAAAAGTTCATGTTCCTTCTCTATCATTGCTTCAAATTTTTCGGACCCCTACACGCCACTACTGTCAACTTTTGGAGCAACAGCAGCTAACAGAAGCACGAAATGTCCCTTTTGCCCCTCTTACAGGTGGGCCCCACGCGGCCGCCTTCTTCTTCCTCCATAGCCATGGAAGCCAGCTAGCTGCACTGTTGCTCGATGTCCAGAGGGGAAGGGAGCTAGGCCAGGCAGGCGGCTGAACACTAGCGGCACACGCCGCGGCGTGGGTCCATACACGGCTGCTCGAGCGGTGCCAGCCACTACGTCATATAATATTTGTAGGGACGGCTCTAGAGGCTTTCTAGGAGTGGTTTGCCCAACCGCCCTTACCCAAGCGTCTATACAAATCATGCATTTGTAGTGGCAGTTCCCAAACTACCCCTACAAATCGATTTGTAGAGGCGGCTAGTATAATACCTGCTTGTACATGCGGTTTAGTTTAGAACTGCCCCTATAGTATATTTTTTCGTCAAAAAAAATTCAAATTTATAATTCAAATTCGACCAGAACATATATTTTTCATGCACAACTCCATCATGACTTATCTTCTTCTGCGATTGTACTAAAACTCAATGACAATACACATTTGTTTGTACCATATTATAACAAATATTCCATGACTTTTAGGTGGACAGTTTAGTCCAGATAAATGAAACAATAAATTTCATCTATTAAACTTTCTAGTAATCGTAATAATATTTCATGGTGACTATGATTTTTACGTGAAAGACCACAAAACAACAAAATCAATGGCGCTCAGATCTAGCAATCGAACATCACAAAATCAGAAGCTTCTAATAATCCTTCCACTTGCAGAGTTGCAGTCACACATCATGTCAATGTAGCACTAAAACAGACTGAAAACGGAACTCGTAATTCAGCAGGTCACACATGACATATCTATTTAAGGGCAGCAACAGTAATAATTCAGCTTAAACTAGAGATCGGATGCATACTGGAGCTGGTGGCTGGTTTGAGACAGAAGTATTTTGTTTCCATCATTACTGCATACAAGAAAGATGCTTTGATCAGCAAACCAAGTTATGCAGTTGGATTTGGTACTCTCTAGCCAGGTACTCAAGTTACCTGAGAGCAATAGAAAAATAAAATTATAAAATTAGGAATTCAGACCACAGTATGCATTTTTGTATCCAAAAATTAATGATTGGAATCTAGGTATTTTTTTAGCGAAGTCCTCTTCAACTATCGTATAATACCCTTATGTTGAAAACTTGCATTGCAGGCAATAGTGCTATTATTAGTTAATTACCCATGTTGTTTCCATCATGCTTTCCAAATTTTGTCTTTCTTAATTTTGCTTTGTTTCACCCTGATGATAATGTCTAAATGAGCATTCCAATAAAAACTGTAGTTTTCAACAACAGAAAGAAAAATGTAGTTTTCATTGGGTGCTATAAAACAAATACAGTTTTCAAGTTCATAAAAATAGATCAGATAAGAAGACAAGCATTTTATTGCTATTCACTTGACATGATTTCATTAAGCAGCAGCATATCATTGTTTCTGTAGATAGGAAACGAATATGATACATAAAAAATACATGAATTAGTGACAGTAACATTAAAAGACAACAAATTATGTTCTCTAGGCTGATATTAAATGCATTTTGTTCCATTAAATCAAATGTACTCAGAATGACCACTGCAATCTAATTCAAGTATCAGGGCAGGTACCGTCTAACCCCAACCAATTAGAGCACTTAGGTCTGGATAGATCGTGCATCCTACAGATCTATCATTTACGCATCGATCCATTGTGAAAAGAGAAATATTAACATAGCATTCTTTCGCAACCGAATCGAACATATCCACCAACGTAGGAATCGAACACGATCCAACAACCTATGAAGGGCACACAAGTGGGGCTCACCGATGGTGGGGATGGTGGTGATGATCTCGCCGAGCTTGAGCTTGTAGAGGATGGTGGTTTTACCGGCGGCGGCGAGGCCGACCATGAGGATCCGCATCTCTTTCTTGGCGAAGAGCCGGCTGAAGAGCTTCCCGAACGCGAGCCCCATCTTTCCCTCCGCGGTGGCCCCCCTTCCTTCACCACCTGCACAATCATCACCCCGTTCATTCATTCATTCCCCGCTCAGATCTCTCCCCACAAACCCTAGCCACACACACGAATCATGAGCCACCCCGGCGCGGCGTCAAAGTGACGGCGCCATGATCTGAATCGACCTGATCCAGCCCCGACCGCACGAGTCGGTCGGGCGAGATCACGCTACTACTGCCCCGGAGAGGAGGAGATCGGGGGCGAGATCTCGAGAGCCTTGAGGGGGCTCAGATCTGGATCCGCCGAGGACGGGGAGGGAGAGGGGAGGAAGGGTGGATCGAGGGGGGGGCTCACCTGCTGCAGTGTCTTGAATGCGAAATCCGGAGGAGGAGGAATTGGGGATCGGGCGAAGGAGACCTCAAGACGGGAGGAGAGATATTAACGCCAAGGCTTCGTGGCGTGCACCAAGGGTGGGGAGGCACACCGGCGGCCACCGGCGAGGCGTGAGCCATCGGCGAGGGACCGGCCGGCACATAATGACGAAATAGGGGGAGAAAGGCGGCCGCAGCCGTCGCGCCCGCTCACGCCAGGCGCCACCGCCGCCCTGTCCGCGTGGAGCGAAGAGGAGAGAGACTGAGAGAGGAGGGGGAGACAATTTTCGTGAATGTGACCGCTATATATACAGCGGATATTTATAGGGGCGACTGGTGATTCAGCCGTCTCTACAAATAGACACGGCACAAATTAACCTATTTATAGGGGCGGCTGATCTCATGGATCCGAGCACGTCCTGAATGAGCGGTTCTCTCACCCGCTGCCTTAAAAAAATGATCCCGCTGCTAAGAACGTTTTTTTTTTAAGTAGTGAGCATGATGCGCCGGCGGCCACCCGAGCGCTGCCTACAGGGAGCGTGCGGGACGCGGGGTTCGCACGGGGTGGGGTGCGTGGGGGCGCGGGTGCGGCCCGCCCGCGGCGGCGCTAGGCCAAGGGGCCATGGTGGCGCGGGAGTGGAGGGGAGAAATAAAAGGCTCGTCGGCCATGGAGGTTGCTCACCGGAGAAGAACCGAGGTGCTCCGGAGCCCACCGCCTGGGCTACGCAGGACCTGCCGTTCTCCGCGCACGCGCTCGACAGGCTCGCCGACATCGTCGCGCGCAGGACAAGGAGGCGCTCTTGCAGCAGCGAGGAGGCAGAATGCAGCAGCAAGCGCCACGCGGTGTGCGCCCCTGTGCGAGGCGAGCGTGAGGGAGCTCGGCGACGAGGCGGTCGGCGGGGGGCCTGGCCAGTGCGGCGACGACAGGACCGAGCGCGAGCACGCCGTGGAAGGCGGTGTCGAGGAGCTTGGAGAAGAACGGGATGAGGGAGAGGAGCGGGGAGCTCGAGGTGGCGTGCGCCGCGAGCGCCTGGAGGCGGTCAGCGACGTGGGACAGGAGGGCATCGAGCGCGAGGAGCTCGTCGTGCTGCGCCAGATCGAAGGACGCGACGGCTGCGGTGGAAGCTTAGCATTGATGGTGGACATCGAGCAAGAGTGGGCTGGCTTCTGTGGCCATGGAGTGAGGAAGAAGAATACTGACATATGGGACCCACTTGTAAGAGGGGCAAAAGAGACATTTCACGCCTATGTTAGCTGCCGTTGCCCCTTAAGTTAGCGGCAGTGACATGTAGAGGCGAGAAAAATTGAAGCAATGGATACCGGTGGCTGATGAAGAAGTGGCATCTTTTATAATGGCTCATAGGTAATTGTCTCAAAATCGTACGGGTCACAAATGGGAACGTGAACATGGCCATTGGCATCCCCAACAGGTTAACACGCAGTGAAGTGAGCCCAGCAACAGATTGCCCAAGAGACCAAGAGTTTAATCGCTCCCAAAAGTTATCTGGAAAAAATGGACAACACAAAAGCCCGAATAGCCTACTCATTACAAACGCTGAGAACAAAACTCCTTTGTTCAAAGGAACAATATAGATAGCAAGGTACGACGACATCACTGTGCATAAAAGACAAAGCAACAGTACAGAAGTCTCATGTTACCCTCAATCAAAACGTTTATATATCAACTCAACCACGTCCCAAGTAAATAGACGACAAGATAAATAACCAGTGCAGAAGCAATGCAGCTCAGCTCTAGTTCTTGGGGCCGATATCCTTCAGAGCACAAATCTGCTCCTCACCCATAGCAGACATCACCGTGACGATCAGATCCTTCCCCTCATTAAATCCATCTTTAATCTGTGCTTAGCAAAGCAAGGGAGTAAGTGACCAGAAAAACAGTTTGCCAAGAGGCTCCTGCTGACAACCAAATATGATTCAGAGCTCTAACCTGGGTAAGCAGAGTTTCATCAGTAGGGAGCTTAAGATCATCCTTGGTGCCTCCACTTTCAGTCAGCAGGCTGACCTGCATTACGTGTTGACCATGTACAGAGTTAAGAAATCAATACGAGCAGATTTTCATCAGTGACTAGAAGAGTCAAAAGAAGCATACAAATCCATCCTCAGATATGTCAATCAGCTGGTAGTCAGTACGGTTGACATGGGGAATCTACATGGTACAATAAAAGATGATCAAACACATTACATTGTAAGAACTAAACAAACAATGGTTTACACTTACATCACAGTTATGCGATGAGGGCACAATCAGCCTGTTCGGCAGGCCGTAAACGATCGTGGATTATTTACTGTTGGCTGGTTTGGCTGGTTTGGTGTGAGAGAAAAATACTGTTCCGGCTGGAAATTTACGATCGTATACGAGCAAGCCCAATCTTCTTTCCATTGAAAATGTCCATGGCCACAAAGTGACATTTGGCATGCCCACGCTTCCCTGTCTTGGAAGTGGAAACCTCAACAACCTGCAATAAAGACCTTAAGTCCAGATTCTACAACATTCAAGTAAATGCGAATGGGATATCGAGCAGCAACTCTGATTAATTATCAAGATTAAGGCACCAAAAGACTAGTCAACACCAACCAATGATCAAGACAGAATTACAAGCTCACAATTCACCTACATGAGCATGTGAATGACATCAACAGAACATATATAGCATGGGCAAGTCAGAAATGAAGTATAATGATAGAAACGGTATGTGAGTACTCCTCCCGTCCCAAAAAGGATAAAATTATAACTTTCTACCAAGTCAATCTATCTCAGTTTTGACCAAATATATATGAAAAATAATATTAGTTATGATACCCAATAATTACCATTAGATTCACCATGAATTATATTTTCATAGTATACCTAATTGGAGCCATAAATGTTAATAATATTTTCTATAAACTTAGTCAAACTCAAGGAATATCAATTACAATAGAGCCAAGGACAACATAATCATCCGAACCATCATAACAACAGAATACAAATCCTATATAATAATATGATACACACAAATGCAAGCAATTGGTAGCCAAGATTTAAAAAAAAATGTAGTACTAAACCTTTCAATGCAGAGTGGGCACAGAAAGGACATCGCAATAGAAGCTGGGATCTCAGAACATGAATGGTTTAAGGAATCACATGGCATAGTCCGCAAAAGACAAATGAAATTCAAATTTAAGGACGTGGTAGAAAAAGGGTTGGAAATTAGTAACGAGCCACCACTGTTTTGGTGCTTGAAATAAACTGACCTGCTACTACCACAGTTTAACGGCAAGAGAACAAGAATAATAAGCACACACAAAAGTAGAAAAATAAAATCAACAGGCCTACTACATCACAACTCAAAGGCTCACACAACAGATAACACCAGACCACGGAACTTGACTCGGAACACACAATTACTGACTGGCACCATCAATCAGATATCCAGTGCAACGACACATCCCCCAATACAACCAGCACACTGAAGGCACAAAACAGCAAGCTATTGCGTTACCAATTAGCAACGCAAGCAGAGCAGCACATCGCTGAAACGGAGCATCTCCGGAATGTACTGAATCTGACGACAGTAACAAGGACTTAAGGGGAAGGCGAGAAGCAGGATCTGTACCTTGCACGGACGGTTCTTGATGACGATGTAGCCGTTCTTGCGGACAGTGCCGGCTTGCTGCGGATAAGTCTTTGACGCACCGGCGTCGGCCTTCGACTCGAAGTGGTGTTCCTCGGAGTCCGACATCTCCCAAGGCCGACCGAAGCCCTTGCCACCAAAAACAGAATCTCACACACATCAGAACCGGTTACCAGCTCACCGGATTAGATAGAGGCGGACAGAGAGAGAGGAGGACAGCGAGGGCAGACGCTCACCGAGTAAAGCGCCGCGCGAAGGAAGGTGGGAGACGGGGGCGACGCAGCGGCTGACTAGGGTTCCGCACGGGCGCAGCACGCGAGTCATATATGCGGCGACGCTGGCGTGGCTGCGCGTGCCGTTGACGTCTGGCGGCACGTTTCTTGACTTGACGCTTCCGGCCCTCCGGGGATTTGGTGCCGGTGCACCACCGGCTTTTCGCGGCACGGAGAAGCCGCCCATTATCTTCTGTGAGATTGCGTATCGGAGAAGCATGCGAATATCTGATTCTGTACATGAGTTGTGACTTGTGAGTCTTCTTGTGGCCGCACTTATCAGCCAGAAAATAAGTAGCTAATTACAAGTTTCACAAGGCAATATCATAAATTTGTGTAAATAAGATACTCAGAGGAACATAATCCTTTATATAAAGAGAGCAACAGAGCTCAGACAATCCAATCCATTCCCTATGCAACCTACACAAACACAACTGAGAACAATCCAATCCCTTCCACATGCGACAAGGCAATGTCACGGCCTGGAATTTTCATCGTTGAAAACAGCAGTTTGCCGCACGCCCGGGCCAGCCCCCAATGCACATCTGCCGGATGCCCACTGCACCGGAAGTCCGAAACGCGACAAAGACTCCAGACAAGACAACATCTTCCAAAGAGCAAATGAGCAATATTCCTTTCATGGCACTGTCCTGCTACCGGCCATCTTTTTTTTGCTATGATTCAGCACAAGAATCATAATTCATAGCTTAGCTTCGACTCCTAATTTTTTAGCGCAACCATAATCTCTAGCATGTTCGTTAAAAAAAACACTCTAGCGTAAGTCTAAGGGCATGTTTGGTTCCATAGCTAGCTTGCCTTGCCTCGCCCATGCAAGCAAGACTTAGGGCTAGCCCAGCCAGCAGCAATCTCAGCTTTAAGCCTCTAAAATTGGATGTATGGGATTCATGTCTTGCCTAGGTTCAAAGCAAATAGATCCTTACCTTACCAACCCAGCGCCATGTTCGTTTGAGCTTGTTGAGCTTATAAGTCGTATTTTTTCAGTCAACGAACAGTGTTTTTCTCTTACACCAAATCAGCCAACCGTACTTTCAGCCATGGCTTATCAGCCAAACAAACCCAAACGAACAGGACACAGGTGAACCAGGATCTCTCGCCTAAGAAAGCAAGCTTTAATCTCTTTTGAGAATGCAAGCCAAAAAGCTCGCTAGCTCAAGCTCCAAGATAACGTCACCCACCAACCAAACACTTGTCGAGTACAAAATTAAAACAGTGAAGAGGCCAAAACAACTAATCTATACCTGTCCGTTTCAAAATATAAGTCACTTTTAGTTTTATTCTAAGTCAAAATGTTTCTAACTTTGACAAAGTTTTGAGGAAAAATACACAACCATCTACAGCAATGAATTATTTTCATTAAATTATTCATGAGATATAATAGTTCATTGAACTTGTATATGCAAATATATCTGATCAAAGAAAATTATGACTTATACAAAACTGAAGTGAACTATAATCTTTCTGAATACTTGATCAAAGAAAATTATGACTCATACAAAACTGAAGTGAACTATAATTAGAATCGAGGGAGTAAAGTTTTTTTTAGAAAAAAGAAAAGGAGATCATCGCAGGTTCTATTGAAAGCAAATGACAGTTTACTAACGTAACAGGGATGGCTGCGGTAACAGCACAGCAATACAGGTTCAAAAAGCTCAAAGAGATACAACACACAACTGTCTCAGACTAGCTAGACTAACTAATGCTTAGCCATACTATATTTTTCCAAAAAAAAAATGCTTAGCCATACAACATAATACAACATGCTGTCACATCTTCGTGACCTTGAATATGTATGTTAGACAAAGAATACAACAGAACATTTTTTGTTAGAAGGCTCTATCCCACACGGGACTTGCCTTTGAAGTCCTCAGTTTCAATGAATATCTGGTGGTGGCCGCTCACCCTGGCCAAAGAAAACGTGGAAGTAAATGAAATGATTATCAGACACGCTCGGTGATTTCTTTGAGATGAAGACATATAATGCTTTAAGTTAGGATGCAAAAATTTGCTGCAGAAGCGAGAAACAAAACTCCTCTGTGCATTCCATGACTTAATTGAAGCCAACGATTCGCCAAACAATTGAAGGATATCACTCTTTCAGAAACGGTTATTATTAATTTACCCTTGCACTGTCATACTACCACATACCCCATCGTAGAACTGTAGAAGGCGAGATGCTTACAAAAGAATGGGTGCTTAGGGAGAAGAGAAAGCAATGGCTAATGGGGTGTGCTATTCTTAGACTTGAAGACAACAAAATAAGAGCGCAGTATATCCTGCATGTGGCAAGAAAAAGTGACTTTTGTGTTAAAGCGCCTATTTAGGTATTTAAATAGCAGATAGCTCAAAGGCACCCCTACTGGAGTTGTCTACAATTCAAGTGTGAGCATGGATAGATTATGTTGGTTTGTGGCCTTTTTTACAACATTCAAGATAAATCTGATGGTAATGAATAAAATTAATAACATCTTGTAAGTTTAGAAGCCACTCACTCTTTATCCACTTCTAAAAAATAGTTTGAGGCAACCCCCAGAAGTTGGCCATTATGGTTGTATGCCATTGACGCCACACTGCCCAAATAGGTTGGAAGCTGTGATAGTAAACACTGTTATTTTTAAGTCACTAAATCAAAGAACAAAAAAGTGCACTTGTGAATAATTAAATGAGTGCAAAAAGAAAACGTTAGCGCAAGGAGAAAAGACTTGGGCGTGGGGAGTCAATGTTGTTGCGCTTCATCCTTTTCTTACTAAGAAATAACTTTTGCCACTGAATCTGTGGGACAGATAGTAATAGTATTTTTTGGAAGGTACAAAATAATCAATATGAAAAAGGAGAGTATACAACACACGATTTAGCAGGCGAGAATATGGGTAGAGAGTAGAGAGTAGAGTTGTCTCACTCAAATGATCTATCTAAGTACCACTCACAAAAACTTCTTTTAGATTAAGAAATAAATGTATATTTTCAAGAAAAACTTGATATCACCTCAGTCAGCTTCTTTTTCGAATGAGCATCCCAGGCAATAGTGCATCCTTCATCATCTCCAGTAACAAAGGTTTTCTTGCTGGTGACAAGAAACATATGAATTTATCTTTACTTTGAGATAGCTATAGAACTTCTTTACACAAAGCTTACCAGGGATGAACTGCGATGCAATTTACAGGGACCAGATTCGATCTTCCATTTCTGGATTTTGGATGACAACGAAATGCATATCTGCAAGAACACAGGTATCCCAGTGAATTACAAAGGATCATTTGCACTTTGATGCCTCTAAGATGTCCAAATTTGAGGCTGTAGCTTATATTGGTTCTGATTGGTCCTTTTACAAAACATATGGATAGAAATCAACTATAGGTATGAAAAGGTTTTACATGAATGCAAAAAAAAGACAATTCACCAGGTTAATAAGAAATGATAGGACATATGAGAAAATATACTTAAAATGCTAACTGCAATTTATATATCGCTTCAATATATAAGAATTTTTTTCCTCCATAACATCGTAGCTTTCCATACCTTATCTTTAATCATTATATATAGGAAGATACAACAACAACAACAACAACATAGCTTTTTAGTTCCAAGCAAGTTGGGGTTGGCTAGAGTTGAAATCCACCAAGAGCCCCAAGTCACGGTTCAGGCACTTCAATAGCTGATTTCCAAGTACTCCTATTCAAATATAGATCTCTAGGCATATCACAAGCTTTCAAATATCTTTTTATTGCCTCCCCCATATCAATTTCGGTCTTCCTCTACCTCTCCTCATATTATTAGCTTGGCTTAGAACTCCACAATGCAATGGTGCCTCTGGAGGTCTCCTTTGGACAAACTTTTCTTCAATTGGTGCTACCTCTAGGCGATCACGTATATCATCGTTCCGAACTCGGTCCATTCTTGTGTGACCGCAAATCCATCTCAACATACGCATTTCTGCAACACTCAGTTGTTAAACATGTCGATTCTTTGTAGGCCAACATTCTGCTCCATACAATGTGGCCGGTCTAATCGCCGTTCTATAGAACTTACCTTTTAGCTTTTGTGGTACCCTCTTGTCACAGAGAATGCCAGAAGCTTGTCGCCACATGATCCACCCTGCTTTGATTCTATGGCTAATGTCCACATCAATATCTCCATCCCTCTGTAGCATCGATCTCAGATACCGAAAGGTATCCTTCTTAGGCACTACTTGATCTTCCAAACTCACATCTCCCTCCTACTGTACAACTCCGCCAAAGTCGCATCTCATGTATTCGGTTTTAGTTCTGTTCAATCTAAAACCTTTAGACTTAAGGGTCTGCCGCCATAACTCTAGTTTCCTATTTACTCCCGCCTGGCTTTCGTCCACTAACACTACATCATCAGCGAACAACATACACCAAGGGATATCCCCTTGTATGTTCCTGATAACCTCATCCATTACCAAGGCAAAGAGATACGGGCTTAAGGCTGACCCTTGATGAAGTCCAATTTTAATCGGGAAGTAATCTGTGTTACCATCGTTTGTTCGAATACTAGTCATAACATTGTTGTACATGTCCTTGATGAGGGTCACGTACTTTGATAGAATTTTATATTTATCCAAAGACCACCACATAACATTTCTTGGTATCTTGTCATAAGCCTTCTCTAAGTCAATGAAAACCAAGTGAAAGTCCTTCTTCTGCTCTCCAAACCACTCTATAACCTATCTTATTAAGAAGATTGCTTCTGTGGTTGACCTTTCGGGCATGAAACCAAATTGGTTTGTTGATATCTGCAGCGTTCCTCGTAGGCGCTGCTCGATGACTCTCTCCCATAACTTCATAGTGTGGCTCATCAACTTAATTTCCCGATAATTAGTACAACTTTGGATATCTCCCTTGTTCTTATAGATTGGTACCAATATGCTTTTTCTCCACTCCTCAGGCATCTTGTTCGGTCGAAAGATATTGTTGAACATCTTGGTTAGCCATACTATAGCTATATCCCCGAGACATTTCCACACCTTGATTGAGATACCATCAGGACCCATCACTTTGCCCCCTTTTATCCTTTTCAAGGCTTCTCTAACCTCCGAATCTTGAATTCTCCACACAAAGCGCCTGTTAGTGTCATCAAACGAGTCGTCCAGCTGAACGGTGGTGTTATCGTTCTCACCATTGAACAATTTATCAAAATACTCTTGCCATCTATGTTTGATCTCATCCTCCTTCACCAAGAGTTGCTCCCTCTCATCCTTTATGCACTTGACTTGGTTGAAGTCCCTTGTCTTCCTATCGCGAGCCCTAGTCATCCTATAAATGTCCTTCTCTCCTTTCTTCGTACTCAAACGTCGGTAAAGGTCCTCATAGGCCCTCCCCTTTGCCTCACTCACCGCTCGTTTTGCAGTCTTCTTTGCCATCTTATACTTCTCTATGTTGTTTACACACCTGTCATGATACAAGCGCTTATAACACTTCTTTTCCTTAATAGCCTTTTGCACATCTTCATTCCACCACCAAGTGTCTTTCGAGCCGCATCCGCTCCCTTTGGTCACTCCAAGCACCTCTGAAGCAACCTTCCGAACGCATGTTGCCATCTTCTCCCACATGCTGTTTGCATCGCCTTCATCATTACAAGGGCCCTCTTCAATGACCTTTTCCTTAAAGACCTTTGATGCCTACCCTTCTAATTTCCACCACTTCGTTCTAGCAACCCTAGTTTGTTTATTCCCACGAGCTTGCACCAGAAAGCGAAAGTCAGGAACAACCAGCTTGTGTTGAGCGACCACACATTCTCCAGGTATCACCTTACAGTCCACGCATGTTCGTTTATCCCTCCTTCTTGTAAGGACAAAGACGATTTGACTAGAGTACTGGCCGCTACTAAACGTCAGTAAATGGGACTATCTCTTACGGAAGAAAGTGTTAGGTAGCGTTTAGTTGGGAGTCAAGGTGGAGTGGGACGGTCCTGTCTCTGATTTAGGGGACGGGATGGCTCCATTTTCTGTTTGGTTGACGAGGGACGGGATCGACCCATTTTGTGTTTGGTTCAGAGACATAAAAAGTGGGATGAGCCACCGACAAGTGGGACCCATTTGTAAGTTTTTTTTTCTTTTTTTTTCTTTTTCCTTCTCTTCTCCTTATCTCTTCCTCTCTCTCTCTCTCTCCTTATCTCTTCCTCCGACGGCCTTTGCCTTGTGGTCGGACGCCTTGTGCGCCTGGCTTCTCCCTCCACAGCAGGGCTTGCCTCCCCGAGATCCGGACACGCCGCGGCTGGCCGAGCTTCGCCTCACAGACCAAGCGAGGTCGCAACTCCACCCACCCAACAAGTAGGTCGGAGCTCGTCCCACCTGGGGCGACCCCGTCCGTGAAATTTTTTAGGACGAGGTCGCCCCTCATCTACACGGAATATTCTGACCTGGGACGTCCCTGCCCCCGTTGGACTCCCAACCAAACAGCCCCGGTCCTGGAGCCATCCCATCCCTGCTGGTCCACGCATCCAAACACTGCCTTAGCTATCATCAGATCAAAAGCTATGGTGAAGTCTAAGACTTCCTCTCCCTCCTGGTTCCTACTACCGTATCCGAAACCCCCATGAACCGTCTCGAAACCTGCACTTGATGTACCTACATGGCCATTAAGACCACCTCCTATAAAGAGCTTCTCGCTACTAGGGACAGTTCTAACCAAGCGATCTAAGTCTTCCCAGAAAAGTCGTTTGGCACTCTCATCATAGCCTACTTGGGGGGCATACGCGCTAATTACGTTTAAGACTATATCACTAATGACAAGTTTAACTAAGATGATCCTATCCCCTTGCCTTCTCATCTCCACCACACCATCCTTGAGGCTCTTATCAATCAAAACTCGTACTCCATTTTTATTTGAAGTTGTCCCTGTGTACCAGAGCTTGAAGCCGGTATTGTCCACCTCCTTCGCATTCTGCCCCTTCCATTTAGTCTCTTGGACGTATAAGATATTTACACGCCTCCTAACCGCTGTGTCCACTAACTCTCTTAACTTACCTGTAAGGGGCCCTATATAGGAAGATACAGAAAATAATAATAATAATAATAATAATAATAATAATAATAATAATAATAATAACCTAAAGAGATGGAAGAAAGTATCAATACTAACCCCAAATCTCTATCGGTTCCACGATCAAGATACTTCAATGCCACAGCTCCATCCACAGAGCCAGAAACATAAGCTAAGAAAAAAGAACAGTAACAAAGACTGAACATTAATGACTTTAATACGGTGTCAAACCTGGATCTAAAATCTATGGCTGAATGAAGAGTGCAGTTTTTTGACGGTGTCACTTGTTAAACATTGGAAGGTAAGGATTAAAACCCAACAATTTACTCATACAAGATCCCAAAATGATCAACTATGCACTCGTTTTTGCTAAACAACAAAGGTTAAACGACATATTGCAAGAATTTAGTGATTCTTGGTTAAATGACATATTGCAAAAATTTAGTGATTCTTGTGAGTGCTTTCATGAAGACAGACTCAAGACCTTACTTTGAAGAAACACAACAGAGAAATATTAAAAGAAGATAGTGGTGGGTGGGGTAGGGGGCCATATACCATTCCATTCTGGAGAAGCATGAAGGCATCGAATTGGATATTCCAGAGGACAGTCTTTTTCATTTACTGGTGTTGTTAGATTCCTCATGTCATAAAAATAAACATTTCTCGCAACTGCAGCTAATATATACATGCCGCATATAGAAAGTGATGCCACATCTGAATCTAAGATTATAGTGCCACTCGGGCTTACATTTCTTGTTTTTAAATCCCAAAGCATTAGCTTCTTGTCCAGGCTGCCGGTCATAACCTGACCTGAAAAACATATAACACAATACTAATAGTAAACATAAACTTTGACAGTTGTGATATTACACATAAAGATTCAAGAATGAAAAAAAAAAAAATCCTTTCTAAATGTGGCACTACAAAATAAAGCTTGTGTTAGTATACTTCTTGTTTCCGCTACACATATTTGCTTAGCTGCTAAGTTAGTCAAACTAGTTTTGGGCTGTAATATGTCGGCTGCCACAGCCCGCAGCAACCAACCTTAGCTATTCTGTACTAATATCAATAGAAGGCAATATAAACTTAAAGCTATAGCACCTAAACAATATATCCAGCTCATTTCAGTGAACTCATTTGAGGTGGCTCAGATACAACATTGGTGTTCAAATTGAGTACAATAAAATATTTTGTGCAAACAAAACATCAGGTCAATACAAATACTTCAGAACCAGGTGATGAGAACATGTACATACAGTTCTATAGAGCTATTTGGTGCTGCAGAGAACTACCAGGGAATCAAACACAAAATCATCAAGATATAAGATTGTTTACTATCTTCCTTACCAGTCATCAAAGAGAACTCAATGCAGGCAAGGACATCTTCATGGTGCCCCACTGTATCCTGCGAACCTGAGTGGAAGTCGTACCTGACAATGTTGCCCGTAACGTAATGGGCATGGTATACGGTTCCAGTTAAACTAAGTGTTTCTTAAAAGGATTTTTTTTAAAAGGAAGTTAAACTAAGTTAACATGGAGAATGTGACTGTACTTGATAGATTAAATCAGCAGTAGCAGCAGGCACAACAATCTTCTCTAATTCAATGTAGTTGCAGTTGCACATATAGTAGTGCTAGACTGCTAGTGGAGTAAATCAGCAGGTTGCCACATATAAAAGTGCTATTATTGTTTATCCTATAAATGTCACACTGAAATAATGCCATGAATGCAAATATGCAAACAAGGATAAATGGAACTACCATACCTTATTTGCACTGTCATGCATTAGCATTAAATGTCATCTCAAGAAAGCAACCGAAGGTCAAACTGTAGATTTGTGATTAGTTCTTAACAGATTGCAACTGGTAGACCTTTGCTTAATTGTAACCACGTCAATCAAAAGACATATATTATTTGCATCAGTAATGCACAGAATTACAATGTGGAACTTGGCTATCAGTACAAAAAGCATACTCGCACTCCTGCTATCATGCAGCCAGAGACAGTAAATGGAAATGCTACAAGGGCATGCGACTTCAAGATACAATCCAGAAACGAATTGCAACCCTTTTTAAATTTACCTTCTCACAGATCCATCGGAGCCGCAAGCAAACGCTGAAGACTCATCCTCGAAGCAGCAGTCGAGGAGTGCCGCCTCCGACTCCGCGTTGACCCGGAGCGTGCCCACGTCGGCATCGTACAGCCGCAGCCCCTGCGACGAATCGGACGGAAAACCCTATCAGACACCGCTAACGATCTCCCCCCAAATTTCAAATCGACCTGAGCGCGCCCAAATTGGAATCCGAAATGAGCTAACCCCGGGCGATTTACTGAAAATACAACCCCGCAACCTCAAATAAATTTTAGAACTGTTCCCATCTCCCTCAAACTCGACCCAACCAGAAGTGGCAAGGAGAGGATGCCTAAGCCGCAAGGAACCGCGAGGCGGGGAGGGAGCTCTCACCGAATCCCATGAGGAGACGAGCAGGTTGTTGGAGGTGGGCGCGAACCGAACCCGGGATGCGGCGCCTGCGGTTGCGTCGCCCGCCAGGCTCCGCCTCGCCATCGACGGGTCTCGAGCGCGGCGCGGCCCCTCGGCAGGCTGGGAGCTGGCAGTGTAGTGCGAACTGCAGAACCGTGGAGTGGAGGGCTCCGAAATTCGAACGGGGAAAACTTTATCTCCCGTTGCATCGTGGGCCGAGTATTGAAGCGGATTACGCCCAGTAGTTCCGGGCCTCCGGTACCAATGATTAGTTGCCGTGTTTTCCTTATCTCCAGATCGCGCCACCGTCCAGAAATTTTGCATGTACCTCAAAACATTATGAATTAATAAGAGTCTACCTTCCTCTCAAAAAAAAAGTTGCCGTGTTTTTCAAAATAATTAGCCATGAGATTAATTTTAAGGTACCAGTAGTTCTAAATTATAATCCTCAGCGCAGTTTTAAGGTTTAATGTGAGGTGGGCTAAAGTTTAGAGCTAACTTTAAACCACCTACTCAGAGACTTCAGCTCTAAAGTTTAAAGAAGAGATACAAACAGGCCCTCGATCGAGTTTGGCAAATATTTAAACAATTACAACATTTGCCATATACTGGTCGAAAGGGAACAGAAACACTGGGACGCGACTTGGGCAAGAACCACGGATTCTGCAGGGTGGCTAAATAAAACTAAATTAGCATTTCGCATGCTGAATACTAGCCAATTAGGCAGAGCATATATACAGCTACAAAAAGAATACAGACTCGGAGACTCATTCACACCCTTTGTTGCACATGTGATGAGCTATTCTTCAGAGATCAAGGTGGTTTACAGGCATTGCAGTTTTTCTCACAATGAATTTATACCGGACCTCATAACCTGAGACAGCTTAATACAATGCTGTCGCAGAAATGTCTTTACCAGCTAATTTACGGAACTTATTATAAGTTTCGACCCAAAAGCATGAAAGTTGGGGTGAGGCCAATAGGCCGACAGAGTATGTACACTCATGACTGTGATCACCTTATACCAGTCCATGTCCATCCATCGGAGTCTCTATAACAATTCGGAACCACCCAGTACCTAATCAAGTCCAATGCTTGCTGGCAATACCCTCTCTCAAGACGCAGCAGCCATGTTGTTACCCGACGGACATCTCATTCTGCGACACCGCCTTGTTGTTCTGCCCCATCCAATCATACCCCTATCATCAGCTTCTAAGTCCCCAGTGCCAGCAGGTTTCGGCGGTGGGCTAACCTCGACCTCCTCCTCTTCTACAATTACAGTCACTACAGTTTTCCGAGGTTTCCTACCTCTAGTCCGCCCACCATAACGTCCTCGCCTAGTTAAACTCGACTCCCAGGATCCACCAGAAGCCTGGACTAACCCCTCGAGCAATTGGACGTCCTCTACGATTTCAGGACGGGAAAGTGACGAAAGGCCAGGCAAGATATCTTTCTGGAAATCTCGCTTCTGCCGTCGTCTCCTTTGCTGGCCCCTTCTGGGCTTGGTGAGGAGGTGAGCAGTTGAAACTGTTTGTTCATCGGTTGTGATTTCAGGTTCCAGTGGCCTGCTCCAGTACTCCTCAATCTTGGTTTCTTCCAGCTTCAGTGTCAAGGATTCAAATGAATCAGACTCATCGTTACTGGAATCATTGGTACAAGCTTGGAGTTCAACTTGCTCAGCAAGGTCATTGATGTTTGATACTGCGAGATCTGCAAACCACTGCAACATATCATCAGATGCCTCTGCAGCTGTTGGCATATTCCTTGCCAATGCTACGATGTTCTCAGCTGCAGCTAGAGCAGATGTATCAGATCTGTCGTCAACTTCCTGGTTTGCATCGAGTTTAGGCTGTGCGCATTCTTGATCAAAATCCCATGCAGCATCCTCCTCACAAGCCGGCACCTCTAAATCAATAACAAATGCTCGTTTAGGATGGTTGTTCCGTGAAGGTTCCACCTGGCATTCATGTGACACTACTGATTCCTCAGAATTGTCATTGTTTGGTACATCATCATTGAGATCGATGAAATTCCTGATGGGGGCGTCACTTTTCTTGATGACTCCTTCAGCAGCTTGTCCATCTTTAGGCACATGTTTCTGGCATGAAAGAGGTAAACTTGTAGCACCCACTTGGGCTTTATTACAGACAAGTAGAGTTCCAGTGACAATGTCTTCTGAAGGCCCATCCTTCTTAATTCCACAAGCAAGAGATGTCGAAGCAGAATCTGACAAATTTCGAATAGTCACGGCTGGTTCATTCTGGTCTTTAGTATTTTTCAGCTCCATTGTAGTTCCAAATGAATGGCCAAAAATCTTCCCTGGCTTCTCCAGAGCTGTTGGATCAGCAGACAAAGCTTTATTTTTGAGCCAAGAGATCCCGAATACTGACCCCCCATCTTTACCATGCTGAAAACTGGCAGCACATCTCCCATCTTGTTCTACAAGACCATCTTCCTGACAATCTGACAGTGTCTCATTCAAATTGAAGTTCTTCATACCCTTGCCATGGGACTGTTGATCTGAATCTTCCAACTTCTGGGAGTTCTTTTGCTCCAGGTTACTTGAAATTGCTACCTGATGTCGTGAGTGGGACACAGAAAACGAATCAAGTGGAAAACCAGGATAGCGTTTATCTAAGTTATCCACATTTTTCAGCTTTGGCATTGAAGTTCCAATGCTCTGCGTCACAGCACTAAGACTGGTGTATGAATTCACAGCTGATGATCCATTGAATCTTGGAATTAAAGCAGGATTATTGATAACGCTGCTCCTTGGATCTGCTGTGTAAGAACCCATTGGGGAGACAATTGAAGGATTGTCTAGTTGAGGAATCGAGATGGGGGCAGTAAATGTACCCATATTCGAATGATGTGGACGGTCAACTCTAGCAAAATTATTGATAACAGAAGGTTCCAGAGGACTTCGTGCAATCCATCCAACTGAACTATTCTGACCTTGGTAAAGAAATTGGTTATAACTGGCAGGCCTCCCATCAGCAGCTTTGAAGTATTTTGGAGGATCAGCATCATTATATCTGGGTGCTAAAAAAGTTATACTGCTGACTTGTTTACCTGAAGGGTTGAAGAAAGAGAGAACGATTATAAGATAGGACTAAGATAACTGAAAATACAGGTGCAGTGGAAGAATGTGAAAGCTATAAAAAAAGATCAACAGAACTAGTTAAGCTCTCAGCATGACATTACCCAAAGCACACCATGCATAAAAGGAAAGACACAAGCTGTAGTTCAGCATTACCGTTGTCTTACTTTTTCCTCCCACTTTCATGAGGGGCAAGTTAATTAACGTGTGAGAAAGAAACTAGGGATTACAAATTTCAGTGAACAAAGTACTGAAACACAAAATACACAGAACTATTCTGTGATATGATTTGCTAAACCAGTAGACCACAGAGAAATGAGTATGTGTTCTAGTACAGATTGGAGCCAAATACGGACTAGAGAAGCCTGCAACATAGTATATTCCAGATTTGACAGTACACATCTCACAGGCCACCATTGGCAGTGAAAAGATAAGCTAAGACCCATGAGGACGTTCATGCTGCAATCCAGTAGATTCCAGCAAGGACGAATAAAAGGATGCCCAGAACCAAATAAAAGAACTGGCATGGCTAAGGTAAATAGTAAAAAGATACAGTTTGCATGTTATTGCATTCGTTAACCATGTTACCAACAATGTATGAGTCACAGTACAGGTAAACCAATTTTCCTCCCAAAATACACAGCAAACACATATGGTTTTACGGCAAACTGTCTCATAGCTGACAAATATGGTAAGGTAACTATGATATGAAGTATTAACAGATATACTGGACCATGGAAAGAACTCTGCAGCCTAAACAAACAAAGGTGTTATAAGTGAACCTTATTGTTACCTTTATTGATTGATGATTTGTCCTCGTGTGTTATTTTTGCACTTGTGTCAAAGAAATTTGAGCTTGTACCTTCATCTGTGTGCTTTTCTTTGGAGTATTCTTTACTGAAACTGAAATTGGTTGTGTTTGATTTCAATATTGGTTGGTGCCACGAGTTCTCGAGGGTATGTGGGAGGCCTCTGGAAACTGATCCATTTGCTCTACCCATATAGAAGCCAGTATTTGATTCATTCAGGTCAGTAACTTGCCGGCTTCCAAGATTATTTGTAGTCCGCAAACCTGAGGATGAACTATTATCACTGAACTTGCCCAAGCCTTCTGCACTAACTAATGTAAGCTCAGCATCATTCCGGGGTTTGGTATCTGATGCCAAACCAAGGAAATCTATGGGCTTGTTATCTGACGTGTCATCGTCATCTATATAATGATCAGCAGGAAGTTGAAGATCAAAAGTGCCTTGTCTGCTTCTTGGACCAGCATCACTTGATAGAAATCCATTTGGAGAGGACTGCACACTGCCTTCTCTAAGGAACTTCATGGAGGACTGGTTTGTATCATTATGCTCTCCAACAGCTTTCCTGTATGTTGTGGACACAGGAGGAACTGGCATCTGCCACATCATCTTTGCACCGTTTGGTGGCACTTGTGATGGAGAATTTGTATGTGATGCAACTGCCAAAGTTGGGTATGAATATACCTCTTTACTTTGATGTTGTTTCATCATATCCTTCTGTATTTTGTAAACTCGGTGCAGTTCATACACCTGGATAGCGAGTGGGTTGTGAGGCTTGACAGAAAAAAAAAAACAAATGATAAGAAAATTTAATTATGATATGTTGTGCTATGTTGCTTAGAATTTGTGTAAACTCACCTGTTGTCTAAACACAGCTTCATGTTCAAGCATTTGATGCTTGAGTATTTCTTTGTCAAATTCCGAATAACCATTTGCTGGTTTTGTTGTGAAGCCATTGCATAACTGGCCATTTGATGTCATCTCCTCATAGTATGGAGACCACCTGCCATTTGCTTCCACGTTGAGATCCCCCGTGGCATAATATCCAGGCATATAGCTTTCCCCTTCTACTTTTGCCCCCATTCTTGTCGCAAAACTGTGCAAGAGACCAGTGAATCAAACCCTCAATTGAATAATAAAAATAAAATAAAATAGATCACAGAAAAGATTCTGCAATA